GGATGGTAAATTAAAGTTTTATTCATGTCGTTTTTTGGCACATTAAAATTTGCATGATCCAAGTGAATGATAGAGATTGTTTTGATATTTACTAAACATGAGTTTATACATATGGGGAGGATGAGGAGGAGGAGAGGGGTGGTGGTGAATGGCGTTGTTTGACATCTCTGTCCACCCCCTTTTCAGGCAGTTGGTATGGATATCTTCAAGAGAAAGACAGCTATTTTGAATTGAAAGTCATGACTGATATGTTGTACTTCTAGTAAACTGTGACTCTAGACTTGATTAACTCGTTAATTCATTTAACAACTTATGAGCTTACTTCATGTTAATATTGAACCCAAACTAGATTAGTGATGGTGATAACATTTGCTAATTGCAACTGGTATATTAGTCCTGTGATTCATTTGCTCAAGTAGACACGTTACTTTGCATGGCTTTTTTTAGCTCTCTTGGTAACATGACTGGAATTACAGGGCTGCAGCCACTTCATTGGCCAGTAGACATGCAGATGGTTCATTACCAGTTGAAGACTTCAATCTGGAGCTGGAAAATCAGAGTGGCGAGAAGGTGCAATTGGGAGCTGAGACTGACCAGCGGTATGAGTTATTATATGTAAAAGTGGAATGCATAATGTTTCTGTGGTCAAATACTTATGGATGCATGGGATTAAATTGTCAATTCACAGGGCAGTAATGATGGGACTCATGCTTCATGCAAATGCAAAAGCACTTATAAAAAGGCAACAACACAAAGATGCACTAGAAGTGCTCACCATGGGAGAGGTTAGTGTCTAAAATACTTCATGCGAGACAATGATTGATGGTATTTTCAAGAGATTCAAAATTATAACGGTTGTAAAATAATATATGTATTGTTTTCTTTAGCTTGATTTGGCCTATTATGGGTATTCCTAAATTCGGATGAAAATACGAATTCTGCTTGCCTGAGCATTTTGTAGCAAACGTAAATTGACCGTGCTTTTCATTGTAAATTTATGTATGTCTCTTTTAAGGCTTTTATTTATGTTAAAATGCTGAAGGAAGTATATTATTTTTGTCGCCATCAAAAAATTTCTAGGCTTTCTTTTTCTGTGATGTGTGCTAGTGAATATGAGCACGTTTGGAAGTGCTTAAAAGCTCCTTCCCAACAAGCTCTTATCTCTTTTGACCTGTGCAATGCTTTCTTTTCCCTTTTTTCTCCAGGAAATTTGAAGTTTCTTCTAGAAATTTATAATTTGTATACTGTATGGTTCCTACTTAAATGAGCTTTATTTCTTTCCTATAGGAAGCATTCTCTCTGTGCGATCCAAAGGTCATTGAGGTGAGAAATTGTTTCTTAAATAGCATGTTTGTATAGAAAATTCTCTCCTTTTTCTTGAAATACGAAGTCAAACTTTGCCATTATCAGCAGTTTTCGCTTGTGTAAATGGTTGAACCTGAATGAAATTTTAAGTCGTAAACGCATCTCAATTATATAATAGATTTGCTAAACCAGATACAGTAAACATCTCTTTTGCTCTTGGTCATTTCGATATTATATCTTTAGTGTTGCAGAAAGCATCAATTGAAGGTATATAAGGCTATAAGCTGCTCTTAAACTCAACCTCAACAATTAATAAATTACCTTGTATTACAAATGGCTGGAAATAGATGAGGAATCATTTTACTTCATCATATAGAAGAGCAGTAACACCTATTAGCACGTTATTAATGGCTTCATCCCATTGTGGATTCCAGACTATTTGTATTGAGCCACTAACTTATCCTATGCAATTGTCTTATGCTTTCTCGACTTTGTGCTTGGGCTTCCAGATGGTTGACAACGTTTCAATTTTACAAATAGACATGGTTTGGTGCTATTTTATGCTCCATGATATCAGTTGGCTTTCAGTAGCTGGTATTCGCCTTGCAAAAGCTAGAGAAGGGATTGAGCGTGCTCATGGGAAAGAATCTAGTCGCATGAGGGTTCTCCAAGGAGGCCGCTATCCAGAGCTTGCCCTGTGAATATTCTTCTTTGAGGAATCAATTATTTTTGTTACCTATTTGCTGTTAAAAACCGTCCTGGTGTACTGCATTAAGTTAACAAAATCTTGTCATTCATATTTAGGTACTTGAGGCTGCAGCTGTTGGAAGGAGTGATTGCATATCACAATGGTCAGTTGCAAAAGTCCAAGGAATCCCTGACTGCTGCACATGCTAAATACACCCAGGTTGTTTTGCTTAAACTTTGTGCGAGTGATACCCTACATATGCTGTTGTGCAATAATAAATAAGAGAATTCATTTTGTGGAATTTATAAGAAAATATTTTTTACTCTAAAGTTTGTTTCCTCTTCTCGTCAAGGGCCATAGGTTTTGGTTTGCCAGATTTTCCTTATTTTTTTCTTTTAATTTTTCCTCTATATATGAATAATGAGAATATATTTCTGTCATCTTCATGTCATGGTTTCATTTTTCCCCCAATTTTTATTTCTATTCATAATAATCATCTTGCTTCTTCAACAGCTTCAAGTTCCAGATGAAACATTGTCGTTACTAATGAGCATGGGCTATAAAGCACGTGATGCAAAGAGGGCCCTCCGCATGAGCAATCAGGATGTGGGTAGCGCTGTTGATTTTCTTGTTGAGGAGAAGGCAAAGAAGGAGCGAAAACGTGAGGAGGATCGTAGACGACAAGAAGAGATTCTGTGTGTTTTATATTTTAGCATCGATCTCGTTCTCTTTTATTTGTCCATTTGTATAACAGCAAGACCTTTAACAAATATTCAACTACAGGGAGCAGAAGAAATATGGAATGACTTCTCTTCGGAAACCTGTGGATCTACAAAAACTAAATGAATTGGTCTCTATTGGGTGAGTAGGTCCCGTCACACACGGCTTTCATCATCTATCTATAGTTTATATCTATTGTCTGGGGCTCCGTCTCTCTACACTAGTAGCATGTTTGGTAAGTAGTATTGGAGAGTGCCGGATACTAATATGAACAAGAGTTTATACTAGTAGCATGTTTGGTACTGAGTAGTGAGTCCCAAACATGCATGTGCTGTAGTTGATCAGGAAATAGTTTCTAAAATGATGTTTGGCACTGTACCAATTGGCTTATGTCTGAAATATGCTGATAGTTTTTTTTTTCTTCTTAAAATTTGCAGGTTTGAGAAAGAACTTGCTGCTGAAGCCCTTCGAAGAAATGAAAATGATACTCAGAAGGCTCTGGATGACTTAACGAACCCTGAAACAAATTCGGTGATGCAGGTAAATGTGCATGAATACCTTTTTTATCGGATTTATTTGTAAAATCCAATCATTCTTCTGTTTATTTTGCAGATTGATATTGAATCGAGGAAAAAGAAAAGGTTGCGTCGAGCAACATCCGCAGCTAGTGAAGAACTTGTATCCATGGGTTTCCCACGAGCAATAGGTACCTAATATGCGACTGGTGCTGCTGCTTTTTATGCATTTGTCAATTACGTCTCACTAACTGATAAGTTTATTCCAAATTTTCCGCATTTTTTCTTGGAATTACAAGCTGACCGAAATTTTTGATAGTCTATGTTGGGTCGAGCTTTAAACGTGTTAAGTACACTTTTCTGCACCAGGCCCCTCCGACTTGAGCAATAGAACTAGATTGATATATTGTACAAGTAGAACACACAGAATGGCATTTTCTCGAGTTGAGATGCAACTTTGCGTTCATTACGTTACATGTCTAAGTCGGACTTTTTATCATTTCATTTCTGTGTCGTTCATCTTTTTTTACCTTGCAGTAGAAAATATGTAACTCAAGAGCCACATGCTTTATTGCATTTGTTCTTGAACACAGTTAGCAATCACAGAAAAAGTTGTAGTTTTGACAAGTTCAAAAATATTGGGTACACTATTAATATATTCTTCTAGGTAATCAATTCTTGTTTTGTTTTTTGGTCTTGTAGTGGATGAAGCTCTTCGCAGGTTTGGTACACAAGAACAAGCACTAAATCATTTACTTGGACAGCCCAATGCAAATGCAGCAGTAGCCGGTGCAAATCCTTCGGTTCCGTCACTAAACATCTCTGGTTTGGATGCTGGGCTAGGCTTAGAAATGAGTTTGGAAGAAGACGGTGGAGGTCCATCAACTAGAGAGGAAGTCAAGGATCGGGATGCAGAAATGGAGGATGAACTGACTGGGGAATTGCTGAAAGGAGATGCGTATTCAGATTATGACATTGATGTTACACTGGAAGGTGAAGCTATAAACGAGTATTTGGCTAAACTTGCTGGATGAGAAGTTGATGACACTTTAGATTCATATTATTAACTTTTGTTGAACTTCTCCCTTGGAAATAGACTGTCTTCTTGGTTTAGCGGTTGGCTAAATTTCGTAGACATCCAATTAAATTCTCTGAGGGGTATATTTATACATCAGTAGCACATATTATAACTTGTTCTTGATCTCTCTTCTTTCAAGGTCGTGGATACCAGCAAAATGTATACTTGTTCCATACTATTCTTGTTGCATAACTTTCTTAAGCAAATGAAACACTGGCATAATCACCAGAGAGAGTAAGAAAGATTAGAGAATTAAAACAAAAGTTGCATGTGGTAATTTATATAGTCTTCAAATTAAAACAAGATATATAGTTCAAACTGAATTGTCTTCGTGAATTTTAACTCTAAAATTCCAATTTATAAGCAAAGGGTTGCAAGGGTGTATGGCAGTAGGACTGAGCTCGAGGTGTAAAGAGATTTGGGGCTGAGCTGTCATGAGATTGGCAGGCATGACCAGCTTTGACGCCAGCTTCAAAATAGGGGTCCGACCTTCAAATGATTCAGTGGATGGGCAATGGGCCAAATTGTTTTTCAATTATCATAATTAATTTCTGAAGAAATAAACATTAAGTAGTAGGTTAATCATATATTGGCTGTCTACATCCAGTACTAAAAAGTGTGGCAACTGTGATTTCGAATACTATTTCCGGCCATCTTTAGTATGGACAAAGCTCCCCAAAAGATGTCTTACATTTTATGTAGCACGTTGTTCCGAATACAGAAGAGGTTGATACTCAGCATCAGCAGTATGCATTTCTATGTTTCCATCTTGAGGTCTTTCTTCCTTGATCTCTGGTTCCTTCTCATCTTTTGGGAGAGCGTTACAGTGAATTGTGTGCGACATTGGCCTTTCTTCTTGGAATAATCTGTCATAAGAATACTTCAATATGGTTATAACTCATCAAAGCATCGTAGCATGTAAGTAGGGGAAAGAGAGAGACTTACGGGTGCTGGCAAAGCATTGGGCATTGGAATGTGAGTGCATACTTGCACGTTGATAACTCGGTTATTGAACTTATCATAGCTCTGGGCTCTGAGCAAACAAATCTCACCTGAGAATTAAAATTGAGAAGATACAATCATTACAATTATTGAGGCAGGGAAGATGTATGTAAAGTGGAACACTTCACACCTCTGTTTCCCGAGGTTGATTTGTTAAATCACAGAGAGTTCCATTAGTAAACAGATGAGAATAATACCTGAAATGTAAAGATAATAAAATGTAACTTTCAATATCCATCCAACAGCTCTGCTCTATCAGTTTGTAAAGCACTAGTTCTTTTCAATGTTATCTGTCTAACCCGTACAGCTAAAATTCATACCTTTGAGAGGCATCTTTTGAACGAGGATCTTTCAATGTTGATATATCGGAAAGATTCTGATTGTTAGTTTCTGTAGATTCAGCATCATACACGCCCAAGATAAATTCTTGAGCCAACTGCCAGATATCACAGTTCCCGTTTCATTTATACCATTATTAAAGTATTACCAATAAGGAAGAGATACATGACCAGTCTTAGAATCTCTAGGCATATAAATTTCTGGGTAATTTCTTTTTTTTGATAAGTAGATTCTGGGTAATTTCTAGCCGTAATAAAACAAATAAGCAGAATAAATTGCCCACCGTGGTTCAGATCACAAGATTTTATGAAAGTTATTCCCGGATCATAATTAGTACTGTTATAATATTTATAAGAAGATCTATATTGATAACATACAGCAGGCATAGTATTCAGGAAAACTTAAGCAGCAAGGATAAATCCAACTAAGGCATGTCCCACATAGCATTCTATACTCTCTTTAAGTAGGAAAAGCTACCTTATCATCCTCGAAATGGAGTTGTCGCACCTTATTCTGATAACAAAATTCATATGACCACCATCCTTCTTGCTGCATTACATTTTCTTGGCAAGGTAAGCATATATATGTGCAACATCATAAAAAAGCCAATATAAAGTTTAAAATGAAGAGTAACCGAATTTCACGAGGATATCAACAAGACAACTTATGTATCAGTAGTTCCCAAACAAATAAGGAAATTTCTAATCATCAGCAAAGGATATAAGGTGGTCTGGCTTCTTTCAATGTTTTCCCTGTTTCTTTATCTTGGTGGTTGAGAATCATTACCCTTATAAAGCAGCGATCTTTAAGAACTTCAAGTAGCTCATCTGGAGTCTTTAATTTGAAATGTTCCTCAGATTCCACAATCATACTGCTAATATTCTGTTCAGCAACTAGCATTCTGCTCTTGGATTTCTCCACTTTAGGCAAAAAACAGTGAAACTTTTCGCCATTTTTGTTGGGCATAACCACAGACTCCTGATCATCATCCTGCAAAATAGAAAATCACGCACATGTCAATTTTATCTTCACAAATGGAAACAGTTAAAATACCTAAGACCCAAGCTCCATAGATGCTATGCAGGAACTTTACCCTTCCCTCCAAAAGCAATCCAGTCAAGATTCTCTACAGTTTACAAATGGGCAAGGAGATTATTAAAGATGTTAATTATGTATTCCTTGAATCTGATAAGTGGAGACTATTTATGGAATGCTTGGTATGTTGGACGGGATAACGGAGATGATTAAGGAAGAAAAATAGTTAAAATCATGGTATTGTAGGGGAAAGAAAAAATTCCATAAAAGGATAATGAAGTTTTCTCTCAGAGAAGCTCCTCTCAATCCTTTTCGAAGGAAGAAAATATTCTTTCGGCACAAATTCTCAAAGAAGAAAGGAAACAAATGTTTTATCTGTGGAAAAAAATGTCACTTTGCAAAAACCTGTCCTACAAGGAGAAAATTCTTCACCAAATTTTCACGGCCACAAAAATTGACTATAGGGATGATGATCTTGAATCTTGGTTTTCTGAAGAGGATGAACAAACACAAGAAACTATATTTGCTCTTGAATATAATTCTAATGAAACCCTTTATAATGAATCTGATGATGCAGAAGAATGTTATGGCATGCAAATTGTTAATTCAGCCTTTTTATCTATTCCGGTGCTAATGATCGATGTAAAACTCTTTACAGGAAAATATGAAAGGCCTATAACAGTTGCCGCACTGTTTGACACTGGCGTAGCATCCTCAATTCTTAATCCTGCTATTCTTCCTTATCACATGTGAAAAAATCATCGGCAAATTTTCCAAACAGCAAATGGAGACAGTTTTTCAACTCAAATAATCGGCAAGCCCGTTACAATCCAGTTTTTTCCTGAAGTTGGTATTTCTTACAAGCTACTAGGTTCTTCTTTACCTAGTAAAGATATTATCATTGCATGAGATATTATCAAACAATTGAAAAGAATGTTATTCCTCGCTCAAATGGTCTCAGATACAAGCACTAATTTCAGCCTAACATACAAAAGCCCACATACTTTACCATGACCATTCCAAATATTACAGAACCAATAATAATATTTTCAGCCTTACATACAAATGACCACATACTTTACCATGACCATTCCAAATATTACAGAACCATTAATCCGGGATTGTTGTGCTGAATCTTATTCAAATTTTCTTACTAAATGCACAAACTCACTTTGGAAAAACCCATACTTCTTCATTTCCCCTCCATTCAAGAAAAATGAAGACGTCAAAGCAAATCTAACAGCTCCAATGTAGAGATGAGTATATCTTTCAGATAACCATACTCGTTGAAGATGAGAAGGTAATTTCAGTGTAACAAACTATTCTTTTTCTGTAGCAGGCATAAGATTTTGATCAAACTTTAAAGCTTGAACAAATTCTTTGGCTTGGGATCTTTGAGGAGATATAAGGCTACGGACAGATTTAGTAATAGACTGACGAGGTTTTGTGTAAGGAATGTACGGATTTACAAGAGCTTGGACTATGAGTGGAACTTTATCAGATTCAGAAAGATAGGATATCTCATAGAGATATTCCATTTTAAAAGCATCAGATTTTCTAAAGGAAGAAGATACAGAAGACGATTTAGGCGAAGAAAAAGGATTAGAGTTTTTTGAAGAAGACATAATTAAAAGATGTTCTTCCTTAATTTCTTCCAGCACATAATAACATAAATTATCATGATATGAGTAAGAAAACATGGCTCTGATACCAAAATGGGCGAAGTGAAACCAAATCACAGTATTCTAGTCCACACAACACCTCAATAGGTTCAACAAATGGCCTGACTTTTGGATTTGCTGTGAATTACTGCAACCCTGGACGGATCATATAGTCAATAGAGCACTTTCTGATGCAGATGTTCACCATGAAGGTGGAACTGCAGAGCATACTTATATTTCTACTCAAATCTTACTCCATATCACTCAAATCTACAACTATTTTGTACCTTTTGAAATTAAGTAGGAACTGTAATAGTTTAGAAGAACAACATGATATACAAACACACTAGTTCGATTGATTCCAAGATAATTTACAATGAGGAGGATGTCTCTTTATATAGAGGAGATAAAATATTAAAATATTCATATGGGACCCACACACTTTACACGTGTCCCAATAATACAAAGTTTATCTAAAACATGATTATAAAAGGACAAACTACTTTAATAAAGTANTCTTATCATATAGTACAATAATACAACTAAAGCAACAAATTATTATGCAAACGGACAAACTAACTTATACAAATGGATAAACAAACTTTAATAAAGTAAATCTTGCTTTAATAAAGTTGATATAGTGTTGTCTTTGTCTTGTTCTGGTGTGCCAAGATTCATATAGTCTTTTGGACATGAGAGTAGACCATGTTGATTTAATCAAGGCATATTGATGTCTTGAGTTTCACTTGGCCATGGATCCCGTAAGTCTTGAAAAATAGTCATCACAATTAATTTGGGGAAATTGTTTATTTATTTGGCTTGATCCTAGGGTTTGTGATTTTTTCTTGCTTGATTCTGCTTTTTCTGTTCCTTTTTCCTTTTGTATTGGATTCCACCAGAGTCTGCATAGACTGCATATAGTTCATTTACAATTTTTTCTATTTCTTTTTCAAGAAATGCTTTTTCCTTTTTTACGCTACGGTCCAAACTGCCAACAAGTTTTTCTAAAATTTTAATTTGTTTTTTCCTTAAAACATCAATATACCCTGATTAAATCAACATGGTCTACCCCTCATGTCCAGAAGATTCTATGAATCTCAGCACACCATAACAAGACAAAGACAACACTATATCAACTTTATTAAAACAAGATCTGCTTTATTAAAGTTTGTTTGTCCGTTTGTATAATAATTTGTTGCTTTGGTTGTATTATTGTACTATATAATAAGGTGAGTCAAAAAGTTTGTACTATATCTGTAAAATAATGACGCATGTTCATTATGTCGGAAAACGCGTGAGTCTCGTGTGTACTTTAAGTTGCTTTTCTCCTCTATATAAGAGGAGCTCTTCCTCTTTGTAATTCATTCGAAGTTATCAGGAGTTTATAAAATAATAATCAGTGTGCTTTATATATATCATGTTCTTCTAAACCCTTATAGTTCCTACTTAGTTTTCAAAAGTACAAAGTAATTATAGACTTGAGTGATATGGAGTAAGATCTGAGTAGAAATATAAGTATGCTCTGCAATTGCACCTTCATGGTGAGCCTCTACATCAGAAAGTGCTCTACTGACTATATGATTCGTTCGGGGTTGCAGTAATTCACAGCAAATACAAAAGACAGGCCCTTTGTTGAACCTGTTGAGGTGTTGTGTGGGCTAAAATACCGTGATTTGCTGTAGATTTGCAATCACTTCGCCCATTTTGGTATGGCCAAAAAGGTTGATTTAGTAGAACTCATAGAGTCCGTCAAGATATAAGGATTTAGATAGAGAATTTCAATGCATCTCCAAGATCCCCAGTATTTAATTTAATAAATAAAACAGTGAATTTCATCTCTCTCTCTCTCTCTCAAACACACACACAAAATAACCATTGAACGATGCCATAATGTTGCACAACAAATATCGGTTCACATCTTTTAAGGTTGGAGGCATTTTCTGGGGTCAGGCAGTGATATAGAGTGAATATCAGAAGGCAAGAACATCAAGTTTCAAGGAAAATTGTGGTAGAGATCAATTAAAAATTACGTTGGGGCAGAGCTTAGACCGAGTTGAGGTAGTGCAGATGATTGTTCACTGAGTTTGGCATAGGTTTTCACCAAGAAGATTTATTGAAGATGGGATTGCTCCTGAGGTGATAACAACTTTTTTTGTGGGAGTGGGAGAGGGGCACACAGGAATGTGAGAAGGAGAGTATGAACTCGATAGTCCCTTTGCATATTACTATGTTACTCAAATAATAAATTTTGGAACAAGTAGAATTGAAATGAAAGGATTTCAAATCCTTCATCAGTTCCAAATCCACCGATACAAAAACAATTTATAATTGCCTTTACTTTTTCTAAACACAAAATCACGAAATGTGCATAAGAAAAACAGGCATTCTCAAGCAAATATGTCCTATCAGGAGCACCAAAAAGATCAAATATAGCAACAAGATTACAACAAACCAAACCTAAGTAGTCATTCTCTTAATTTATCCTCAACTAGTGCTAACTCTACTTGTTGGCATTGTACTCTCATTTCTATCTTATCCTCATTTCCTTTAAATTCTTCAACAACATAGTAACCAAAAGTTAAGAAATAGCTGTGTCTTCTCTTAAAAAACAATGAATGTCTCCTATGAGAATTACAAAGTTTTCGTTCAGACAAGGTAGAATGTTCATAATGTGCCCTTATGTCTCGATATATTCTTGAAGTCACTTTTGGAGATGGGATGACTACAAACTAAATTGACCTGATCCTTAACAGTTCCCATTTCTCCATAGAAGATTAACAAACAGTGTACTAAAAAGGGGCAAAATGTCCACAAGTATATTGCAAGGTCTCAAAAGAGAAGATTGTGCTTATTTTCTCTTTGTTTGTTCCCTTCAAGAAATCATTAAATATAAGGATTTGAAACAGGACAATATAGCTGTAATATAATAATTAGCAACTTGCTCAGGATTGTTTATTCAAGTTCTTAAATCTGTGTTTGATACTTCCCACGTGTGTATGGCCAAGTTCAGAAGAGACTCCGTTACATTTCAAAGTTAAATATGTTAACGGATTTTACTTTCCAAACCCCCTTTAGAATCATTAAATATAACAATTCGAAAGAGGAGAATCCTCAATACTCTTTTATATGCTAAATCCATATTCAATATCTACCACAAAGTAAGAGTTCAAAAAACTGATAACATAGACGAGAGAATCATAATCCATAACTAGCATATTAACTGGCTTCCAGAAAAACAGACACAAAACCAGATGTAAGTTGCATAAGTCCAACTGTCCAGATGCTTTAATTAATCTTGAATGTTGAGATTCCATCTATTCCAATTAGCACAAAGTGTACGAGCAACTAAACAGAATATGCGACAATTAATATATCACATACAGGATAGAAAGGTGAGTCTTGCGAATGGAATTCAATTTTGAACTTCGGCTCTCTGGAGCTAGGGCCAAAAGTCCCCCCTAAAATGAAAAGCAAGATGTCATAAACAAGAGTATAAGCTCAAAGAATGGTAAATCAAGAACTTAAAGGCAAACTTTTTAATGACAACAAATGTGCTGAAGACCAAGTCAATATTAATAACAATGTCTCATTCCCACAATGTAATGAAGACTCTAAGAACGAAAAATAACAGGAACATCAATTTGCTCGTGTCACATTTATATTCCATTAGTAACTAGTACAATATGAGCATCTGGATAACAAATTATTAACCCAAGTTATAAGAAACCTAAGATCATGTTTGGGAAGTACTTATAAATGGTTTAAATTAAAAATAGATGGAAATGAGTGGTGGATAAATGAGTAGTACTTGTTGGTCCCTCACAATGTGAGGAAAAAAGGTGTCTCGAGTGTTTATACAAACTGTATAAGCATGAGCCAGCCTATATGATTTCTTAAGCTGCAATATATACAAGACCAGTCCTAAAATAGTTACCATTAACTCGGACACGAATATCTTGATCTTAACAAATAAATACCTAGTCATGATCAATAACATTACTTCTTTTTCTTTATTCTTGATCAATGCCTATATATTCTATCGAAAATATTTCATTATCTGAGTCTTACAATTTTACGTCCTACTGCATTGAACAGAGAATTCCATCACTCCCTATTATGTTTCCAAACCTTCACTCTTGAATGGAAAATTGTTTCCTTCAATGAACTTAACTGTTCCATTTGGACAATATATTAATTCGTCATAACATTTTGCAGTCTCCACTATACAAGAATCTAGATGAAACTAGCAGAAATCAAAATAAGAGTCAAGCTTGAATTTTTACACAACTAGCACTCCCACATTTCAACTAATCCCTTATTCCGACGCCCTATAATATAAATACTAAAAATTTCTCGAGTGTACACAAATTTGAGTTGAATGAAACGCAAAAAGTGATAATATACCTGTATGAACCGGGATGATCTGGTCGGAAAAGACAACATCGTACCAGAGGTCAATGGCAAAAAGTAGGGCCCACCACTGCCATGTTGGTCTCATCTTGGTTTTCTTTTCTTCTTTATGAATTCAAAGACTTGTAAACCCTAAATTTGAACAAGATGGAAGATCATTCAGCAATGGTGTGCTATGCAGAGAAAATAATAAGCTGTATGCGACCCTGGGTCTTAACGCCAATGGACCAATGAAAATTTGCCACTTCAGAATAATATTGGGACGAAATTAGTGAAAGAAAATGAAAGACTCTTTTTAAATTAGAGAAAATTTTCTATTTCTCATTACTGGCCAATGTTCGGCACAAATTATAAAATGTTTACAAGATATTCGCAAGTCGTACCCACTTATTCATCGTTTATTTTTATCTGTTTGTAAACACTTTCGAAACACGGATTTAATTAGGAAAACATTTGATTACAACTGAAATGATTTTATAGAGCTAAAATAATAAATAAAAAAATAGGTCTTGGGAGTATAGAAATGTACGAAGACAAGGAAAAAAATATGAGAGAGTAGAGAGAATATATCATCTAGACCTTGTCGAGTCGGAGTAGTAGGAGAAGGATTTGATCAAGTAGAGAGTTAATAATTAAAAAAAATAATAATAATAATAATACTCACATGACTCACCCTCATGGTGCTTTGCCCTGAATGGAGTGGGATTTCCAAATTGGATAGCTTATGGAGACCGGGGAGAGAGAGAATTATGGAAAAATTCTTTGCAAGTAGGTCAGGTATGGGAAGGGGCGGACGCAGAGATTCAAAGTTAAGGAGTATAATCAAACTTACAAAGAAGTTGGGAGAAATTTTATAATCGAAAATTTATGTTCAAAAAAATCATATCCCATGTAATTTTACATCCGAAAATTTACGTGGGATATGACTTTTTCGGATGTAAAATTTCGAAAATTTTTGATGTTATATTCCATATAAAATTTCCTAATAAAATGATGAAAATTACATTGAGAATTTTGTATCGCAAAAATAATAACTGTTAATGAAACAATTGAATTTTTTTTTTAAATATGCGAGTTACACGTCTTTTTTAAGACTCACGTTTAACGAATTTTTAACTATTTTCGATATCTGTTTGAATTATTCTATATGCCCATAGTGTAATTCTCGAAATAAGATTTGAGATGAAATAAGCAATTTGTAGATTCGATTAGCGTACGTCGTCGGAGAATTTTTAAAATTAGCATGTTATCGAAATTTAAATTTATTGTAATTTTGCCACGGTTTGATGGAGATTAAAATCAAATTTTTAGTAATTTTTGATAAAAGTTAAAACAGTTATGGATTCCATGAAATATGTTATTAAAATTAATTGTTAACTTTACTTTAAATTAAAATTAGATTTCAATTAATATCAAACCCGATTTTATTAAAAAAAAAAA